TCTCAGACGTGAAAACGGTGACTTTCTCCTGAAATTCGGCAGCAGAGCCGAAGTTGAGAGGCTAGAAAATGCAATCGAGAATAAGGATATTTGCGAAAATGTATTGTCCCCAGACGTAGATAATTTATCAGAAACAAAACTATCATATACGGAATTGGAGAGTCGCTTGAGAACGACGAGTTGGAGAATACCCTGAAAGGAAATTGTGAGTGCAAAGGGGATTGTGTACGTCATCTGTTTGATATTCCCGTTCGTGGTTCAGAAAAAAGCACCTCATCCAAACTTCATAGTTAAATGTACTTGTTAAAAAGGGATCCTACAAGATCAGCGCCTAGCCATTGGCTGGCGCTCTTATTCTGCCGAACTTTTCTTTAAACCAAAACAGTGCAGCAAGTGTTTTGCTTATGGACATGTTGAAGAGTTCTGCAAAGCCCGACTTTTGCTTGTTCGGTTTGCCCAGGGGATCATCTGGCGTCAGAATGTAAGAACAAAGATAAAGTTAGATGTACAAACTGTGCTTCCATGAATCAGAAACATAAAATTGATTTAGATTATAACCATAAAGCTTCTGATAAAGACTGCCCGACACTATTAAAAGAAATTGAATTTCTTAAGAAACGTTTGTATGCTGATTTCAAACTCTTTTCTTAACATTTTATCGTTTTTACTGTATTTATTTCTGAGATATTTTAATATTAACGGCCGAATTTTCAGTTTGTTTTTCATGTATTCTCATTTATATATCAGACTCTGTATTTGCTATTGCTGCTTTCATGCATCTACTTAGAATTAACTTAAACCACTGCGGTGGCTCCTGCCCAGCTCTCGCCGTTTAAAAAAATCGACGGTGTTTGCCGTGACCTGATATTGCTGCAGGAGCCCTATCTGATTGAAAATAAGTTTTCTTTCATTGAACACAAATGGAGAGTTGTGGCTTGCAGCTGAGGTAGATCTGCTATCGTGAATTACTACTGAACACATTAATTTCGTTGATCGTAATCCAACAAGATCGTGAGTATTACTGTTTTCTAGCAAAATATGAGTCTTGAAATAATTTCTGCCTATTTCTCTCCAGCGGAGGACATTGCTTCCCATATGTACAGATTAGAGAACATTTTTAACTAATATTCTATGTTTTTAATTTTTGGTGATTTTAACTCTAAACATTTTTGCTGGGGGCTGGTCTAAAAGATCCAAAAAAAGATTTTAGTCTTTGATTTTATCGTTGCCAATGATTTAATTCTTTTTAATGATTTTAATTCAATTCCCACTTTTTACTCATCTGTTGGATGTGGTTGGACTGATTTAGTCATAGGATCAAAAAATATAAATGCTAGCAATTGCAAATTAAAGATTTGTGAAGCAGAGTCGCTGAGCGACCATCCTTACATCTTATTTGAAATAAACCATTTTTGTCTTCATTATGGAAATAAATGTTATGTATCTAAAAATGTGCACAGAGTCGACAGTCTGTGCAACAGAAGGAAAAGAACTATTTATAAGCTCAGCGACAAATTAAGAATAACTCGTAATCATGAAGAACTACTTGAAATAATCGAAGAATTTAAACGGTAATTGCAATCGAGAATAGATAAAGAACTATTGGTTAAGAAGAAAGAGTGGACACCTGAACTAGAAAACCGTAAAAGATGCGTACGTGCTCTTAGTTCACATTACTCAGGTCTCGACGATGCAACAAGAACTGGGCATAGAATAATGTATAAAAACGAATTAGCAAAATACAAGTTATTGATCAAAAAATCCAAAAGAGAGAATAAGCTGAGCTATTTTATAAGTTTAATTGTCAGCAAATTCTCTTCTTTTATCAAATGGTTTTTTGGGGGCCGAGCGGTAAAGTCGCTGAACACTGGTAGTTCGGTCCGAGGTTCGAATCCCGCGAACGGACTGGCTGCATGGGCGTTTTCGTGGTTTTCCCCATGTGTAACGTGTATTCGAGCCAGTTTCCCTTAGAAAGTCCTCCACGAAGACATCCCTCCCTTTAGGCAGATACCCCTCGAGGCTTTGCTATAATCACATACACCTTAGAAACAAAATCCTCCACCCTTTTGAGTTTAATCTACTAGAATGTTATTTTGCCAAACGGCAGAGGCGTTTGGGGACATAGAGCAGGGGAGCTTGTCAGATTGAGACTTAAACTTTATAGCATACAGAGAGCTTAGGCTTTAGCAGTCATAAGATGCTTTAGGACAATTTCCACTGAGGCTGTGTTTGTCTCGGCCAGATAATTGCCCTTTTCAATTTCCTATGAATTTTTTCTGGATAAATTCTTATTACGTACCAACCGAACTGATTTTAAAATATATAATGATTATATTGCCACAAAATATATTTTTGAGCGTTTTAATATTCAATTATCGCACTCTTCTGAAAGAATTGGGTGTTTTTAAGAGAAATAGATTGCTAATTCCAGTGCATATGATGTATATACAGACGGATCTGGGATCGAGGGGAGGATTGGAGCAACATTTGTTGTATATTACTTTGGTGTCGAAATCGATTATATGAAATTTAGATTAAGCAACTGTAACTCTGTCTTTCAGGCAGAGTGCGAGGCTCTACATCAAGCCCTAATTTGGATTAAGAGATGTGTTGTTTTTCGAAATGTGATCAATATTTACACAGATTGTTTGTCGCTGCGTCAGTCTTTCTCCCGCCCAGACAATGCCAATCCTATTATCTTGAAAATCAAAAACTGTTTACAAACTTTGAATGGTTACTTAGATGTAAAACTGCATTGGATCAAAGCTCATATGGACCATATTGAAAACGAAAAGGCCGACTGTCTCGCCAAGGAAGCAGCCTCAGATACGGATCTCCCCTTTATTGAAATTTCAGGATCAAAGCAACTGGCCATTACACATATGAAGAAATTTTACATCGATAAATGAAAAATACGGTGGGAAAATTCACCAAAAATATAAAGTATAAATGAAAATTATCAGAATTACTAATAAAATGGCTATTCTTAACAAGATTGATTTAAACAAAATTCTCACTGGCCATGGGAGATTTACCTATTATTTTAAGACTCAACTTACAAAATAATGAACATTGTATTTTTTGCAATGCCATCGGAGACACGAAACATTTTGTGGAGGACTGCCCTGTCTTTGCTGATCAGAGCTGTATAAAATTGATAATACTTTATATGCTAGTAAATTTACATGATAGTAATTTTTCGCATAAGATGTCCTCAAACTTATCAATGCAAATCGAGGTGTTATTGGAATTGTGATCTGATGTTGTTTTCTGTATTAATTTCTGTTTGTATGTTGTTCCCTATTTGCATTTTTGAATTACCTTTTGGGGTCACTCTTTTTTTTCTGACCATGAGGCCACTCCGTGGCCAGGAGGGTCTGAGTGTACCTACTATCTTGTAGCGTATTGTAGGTATAAGATGCTGCAGAAATTTGGGAATGAGGGCAAAACTGACTGAGAGTGAAGAAGTGGTGTTGGGGCTCCCAGCCAATAAATACTCGCTATCTGGGAGTAAAGATGTGGTGGGGCGAATTTTATTCGAAAGGATGCCAATATACGTCGTTACTGGATTGTGTCTTTTGCGTTGAGCATAAGCTTTTGAGTGGTTAAAAAAAAAGCTCGCCGAGTATACAAAGGGTATTTCAGTTAGTTTTCATTTAATTTTCATCGTCTTGAAATAATAATGAAAAGACCCTCATTACATTTCAATGCTTGAGTTATCTGAATATTCAAAGAATCTAGATTTTGTACATAGAGGTAGAAATTAACTTAAGAGCAGCATTCATGTTATCGAATTACATTGTGATAATGAAACAGTAAGCCATACTAAAACGAAAATTTTGGCCTTTGCATGAAACATAAAAGGAATATAAATAGACTAGTGTACTCTCGATTATCTGGCTGCGGATCCGTGCAAGGTGATGACCATGCACCCACATTCAAAGTTATGCGTGAGGGTATGTAACAAACAAACATGAACATGTCAGAGCAAGCTCTAAAAAACGCTGAATTGCGTCTTTTAGTTTAGTTTTGAAGACTGCCTCTTACAATTCGTTCTGCATATGAAGGAACCGTTTCGGTTGATCACTGGGATTTAGTTTCGTATGTGTTTTCGTTCATATTTTCTTCTTAGTCGTTTTCAAACTGTAGTACTAAAAATTGAATTAAAAACACTGCAAGTACTAAGTGAAAGAAAATTATTTTAACATTAAAATATATTGTAAATGTTACAAGAACAGAAAACGCAATGAGTAATACAGAAAATAAAAGCGAAGAAGGTATTAACAATTAAATTAATCCCAAGACAGCAATGACTTCTGTTGAAATTCTATTGGAATTCCTTGACTAAAGGGGATTCAAATAAAATGATAAAATAGACACTTCGAAAAATACGCAGTGAAATTCGGTCAATATTTAAACGTTCTCAAAAACAAAATATAAAATGACATTTTTTTAAAGAAATAAGCACGTACAACATGCATAAAAGTTGATAGTTTGAATTATATACGTATTTTTCAGTTATCCGTGACCTACTTTACCTGTCTCAGACCAGATAATATTGTATAAGAGTATATTGTATAAGTTTTCGGTTATGCAGTCTCATGCAGTCAGTAGATTGCATCGTACAGAAACGCGAAAACTGTGCAATGCCCTCTCCGGGATTTAAACTTCGAACTTGTAACCGGGGGGGGGATTTTAAAAAAAAGTTTTTTAAGTTTAAAAAACGTTTCAATTACGATGCAGTAAACGATGTACCGCTTTTAGCTTATTATTTATCTTAAGGTGGCAGCACTAAATTGTTGCTGTTTTATTCATTTCTTTTTTCTCGCCATTTTATAGTACCTTCGGATTTGAAAATAGCATTTTAGTTGAGCCATTTTAAAAAATATACAACTAACTAAAAGCAGTAGATCGCGTACTACATCATTATCAGTATCATTCATTTAAAATAAGATTTTTAAAAGATTGAAAGCTTACTACAGGTATTACTTTTTTAACAGGTTGTCTTCCCTGCTTAAGCACCCTCCAGATGAGCCACAACAAGCTGTGCTCCATTGAAGATATACAGCATTTAACGAAATGCCACACAATATCTGTGCTGGATCTCTCTTACAATGTGTTGGAAGATCCGGGAGTTCTAGATGTGTTTGCTGCCATGACATCTTTGGTAAGAGAAGGGGAGAAAATCAGAAATGTTTCATATTTTAATGGTTGCCCAAAAGGTTTTGGTAAACCCGCAGTTTCCCAAAATAAATTCAGAACTTTTATACGTCTAACAAAACCGCGAGATATTCTCGCTCGGTAGCACTGTATTTCTTCTGTGCGATTAAGCGTTTTACTAAAATACGCCACTAGTTGGCGTCTCTTCCTGAAGACCGCTCCTATTTGCGTAATCTGAAGTGTAAGGATCCTAAGTTTTACTAACGTTTATTTTATTTTAAATCTTTACTATCACTTCTTATTTTCTACTTCCGGCCAGAATTAAAAGCTTTAACTTATTTATGCAAATTTGTCTTGGCGAACGCCAAGTACTTAAGTTGTGGCTTTTTTGCCAAGCAAGAGAGAGGAAGGAGTTATTAGAAGCAGGCCGCTGGCCATTAGTAAGTTTTACTCGTTTGCTGGTTGCCTTCAAGGCCAGAGGTTTAATCCTCTTGATAATTTTAAACGTATCGTAGTTTTACAGTCTCTCTGTACTACATACGGATTTTTGTTAAATAACGGCCAATCTTGAAGTTAGGCACTTGTATATTAATCCAAAGTTAGTTTTAGTTAGAGTTTAGTTTTAGTATTTTTATATTCTTACGTTCAGACCACAAGTGGTTGGTCTCTGTATTCCGAAGTACCGGAAATCGCTTGTAAAGATAGAAAAATAAAGGGTTTCGTATACCCTTCCTGTGTGTATTGTCTACTTCCCACAATTTATTGAACATAGCTTTAGTAAGCTCCCTGTTCCGAGTCAGGACAGTCCATGTTTCCAAAGCAAGTAAAGAGGAACACAAACCTGATAGTGGCGCCCGACGAAGAAGAATAACCATGGCCGAGTTTCAAGAAGAACCTGTGCTGCCTGCAGAATCGGCTCAGAATCCAGAAATGCCAGCTGCCGCCCTGGAAGGATTTGGGTACATCGTCCAGACCATGCGCGCTTCGATGAAACCAGAAGCAACATTCAATGGAAACTCACCGGTAACCAGTTTTTTGGAAAAATTGGATGACCACTTCATGCTGTACCCAGTCCACGAATTCCAGAAAAGTCACCTTAGCTACCAGCGCTTTGAGGGGCCAAGCGCTTAATTGGTTCAAATGTATAGGCAGAAGTCTCTTGGGTCAAGCGGGAAGTCCCACCTATACTTACGAAAATTTCAAGACTGCCTTAGTAAAAGCCTTCCCTGTCGTAAGGGATCGTGCAAAAATTAGAAGCGGAACTTTTCAGCATATACCAAGAAAAATCTCTCAAGCTTTATTTTAAGAAAAATTCACGTCTTTAAAAACTCTTGTATGGAAGCCGTCCGGATCCTGAGATAATTCAAGTGATTTTGCCGAGGTTACTTCCCCAAGTACAAGACTTTATTGAATTAAGGAATCCGACTACACACTGGAAAAGTTATTTGAGCTAGCAATCCAGTTTGAAAGTAGAAGAACGGCGGACATTGAAAGAAGACGCCAGTATGAGCAACGAAGCCAATTTGGTGCGCCAAGACCACAGCAAAGCAAAGCCAGAACGGCTACGGAAGCAAAGCGAATCAGTGGGCAAGGAAACCCGAGCATCCAAAAACAACCGGCGAACGTCGACAGTTCAATAGCAAGCCAGGAAAAAAAGTCTGAAGGCCAGTGGAAAAAGAAGGAAAGCATGGAAAGGAAAAACAAATTTAAACTAAAACGGATTTCTGCTGACGGGAGGGTGCGGAAATCCGAAGGCCACGAAAAACCCCTCTTCCTTCAAGTTAAATACAGTAATGGTGAAAAATTTGACTCTTCCGAAGATTGAAGTGTTGGTGAATAATATCCCAGCCACCGCACTCCTGGATACAGGCGCGCAGTGTTCCTGTGTGGCAGAAGATTTTTTTAGGAAGTATTTCCGTAAATACCGCATATATAATTCGGATAATACGACAGTGTTAGCTGCGCAAGGGAGAAAGATGCAAGTGCATAGGTAAAGTACCATTATATATTCCGTATCAAGGACGAACAAGTAAAGGTTATGTTTTTTATAGTAAAGAATCTGCAAGCACATATTAATTTTAGGGAATAGATTTTCTTTCAGAGGCAGAAGCAACGCTGGATTTTAATGAAGCGTCCCTTAAGCTGACGATGAAACCAGTTCGAGAAGAAAAAAGAGAACCGCCGACGTTAAACCTTGACCACCTGCCTAAGGAAGAGCAAAAAAATCCGACAAGTGGTAAGTGAATTTGCTTCGTTATTTAGTGATATTCCAGGATTTACTCAAGGTTACTAACCATAGTATCGACACCGGAGATTCAATGCCAGTTCGCCACAAACCATACCGGTATGATAAGAATAAAGAATGGCACATTCGATATATGTTACGTAAAAGAGATCATAACGCCCATCTCAAGTAGTTATGCTAGCCCGGTGGTTTTATGTAAGAAAAATAATGACTATCCATTAACACATCCAAAAAGGTGGCGTTTCGCAATTGACTACCGTAAATTAAACTCCATAACTAAATATCCGGTATATCCGTTACCTATTATTGAAGAAATTCTAAGGAACATAACTTCTACCAAATATATGACGACTTTAGACTTAACGACTGGTTATTTTCAAATAGGGGTTAGGCCTGAGGACGTGCCTAAGACTGCTTTTATAACCAAGTCTGGCACTTATGCATTCTTGCGTATGCCGTTTGGCCTTTCAGGGGCACCGGCAACATTTCAGCGATGTATGGACATTGTGCTTAAGGCCTGTTCTTGGAAAGTCCACATTTATCTATTTAGACGATATCATTATTACTAGTGATAATCTGACCAACATGTACAGGATTTAAGACAGGTGTTTTCATTTATTAAATGAGGCCGGTCTAAAAGTTAATGTCGAAAAGTGCAAATTTTGCAGCCCTGAATTAAAATATTTAGGTTACAAAATATCTCAGAAAGGAATCGAGACAGACGAATCAAAAATAATCGCTGTGCAAAAGTATCCGACCGCCAAACACGGCGAAGAAGCTCTCTTCTTTTCTAGGACTTTGTTCATATTATAGGTCCTTTATAAAAGATTTTGCAGCTATCGCTGAGCCATTGTTAAAATTAAAAAGGAAAAAGGCAAGATTCTCGTGGACGGCCGAAGCCAATAGTGCTTTCGAAAAATTAAAGCAAGCATTAACGCAAGCCCCTGTCTTTGAAATTTCCTGAAAAGGATGAGAATTTAGAAATTTCAAATTTCAGCGGATGCTTCGGATTATGCGGTAGGAGCGGTACTTTCGCAAAATCAGCAGCCCGTGGCATTTTTTAGTCGAACTTTAAATCAAACACAAAGAAATTATTCCGCGACCGAGAGAGAGGCACTTGCAGTTCTGTTAGCAGTGCAAAAGTTCCGAGTCTATTTTGGAAAGGCGCCAATAACAGTGTATTCTGATCATGCGGCGGTAACTAGATTGTACTCAGGGAAAAACTTATCCCCAAGGTTAATAAGATGGGCACTCAAGCTACAAGAATATAATCTGGTAATCAAGCATACCCCCGGAAAGGAAAATATCGTAGCAGATGCCCTATCCAGAATAAAAAAAATAGATGAAGAAGGTAATACTGTAAAAGGTGGCAATGCTCACAGCATGTACAATAAATTCCCGAGAAACTGTAATAACCGAACTGGGTAAGGATCCTGAGTTTGGAAAATATTTATGAGTATTTAAAGGATCCTGAAAATTTTAGCCACCAAGATATTGTGGCGATAAGAAATAGGGCGGCCCATTACGAACTAATAGATGGTCTATTATTTTATACAAAAACTACGAATTCCAACAACGAATTTCGACCTGTTATCCCAGCTAGTCTTAGATTAAATATCCTGCAGGAGCTCCATGACAGCCCTTTAGCTTCTCATGCTGGTATTCGAAAAAACTATCCAACGCGTACGCGAGGCAGTCTATTTTCCTGAACTGCAAAAGTTAACAAGGGCGTATGTCCAGTCCTGCCCAACATGTCAAGCAGTTAATTATATTAATTTCCGCCCGGCCGGGTTTCTAAATAGTATTAAATCCGAATTTCCAAATGAAATAATTGGCATCGATTTATTGGGCCCTTTCCCAAAAAGTCAGTTAAATAAAAGTCGCTATCTCCTTGTTATGGTTGATCATTTTAGTAAGTGGACCGAAATTGTTCCCTTAAAACGAGCCTCCGCGAAATTAGTTACTGATTCTATTTTAAATAAATATATTTTAAAATACGGGGCGCCCCTAAAAGTTATATCGGATAATGGTCCTCAATTTGTAAGTAATATATTTGAAGACATGTGCCAAAAACTGGGCATACGTCATTTAAAAATGGTCCCGTATCGGCCGCAATCAAATATAGCGGAACGGGTCAATAGAAATATAGTGAAAATTATCCGTAGTTATGTTAAAATTTTTTCATAAAAGCTGGGATAACTATGTCAATGAATTTGCTTTCGCCCTTAGGACCGCAAAACATGATACAACGGGCAAAACTCCTGCTGAGTTATTTTTAGGCAGAAAGATTATAACGCCGTTAGATAAATTATTTTATGTGCAACAAAGAGCCCCAGAATTTAAAATGGGTGATATAGAAAAATTAATTAAAGAAGCAAAAAAGAACACTGGAAGTAGCACAAAGAAAACAAAAGCTCTATTATGATATGAAACGACGGGGAGTAACTTATAAAGTAGGGGATGAAGTGTTAAAAATTAAGCATTCACTTTCTTCAGCACCAGAAGATAAAACTGCCAAATTTTTTCCACGATTTGAAGGACCATATGTTATAGAAAAAATAACTCACGCTGTAGTGGTGTTAAAAGCCAGAAATGGTGAAACCTGCTCCGCAAACATTGATCAAATAAAACCCTACTATGATCGTAATAAAATGCAAATTTTCAAGATCTTTTGCAGGATCCGGCACGGCAGGCACAAGCTCCAGAGGTGGAACAACGACAAGTCACAAGGGCAAGCCATTAGGAGACAGGAGCAATTGAAA